AACCATCTCGTTCAGAAACTTTAACACCGGCACGGGGAACTGTTTGTGTAGTTATGGCTACAGTTGTTGCTGGTGTTGTGGTCGTCGTTGTTTTATCGGGACCAAAACCAAAGATTCGAAGAATTGTAGAAGCAAGATCGCTGCTACTTCCAGGAACTGCTGATGGTGTTTCTTCAATATTGGTTGGTACTGTTTTACGATTAGCCATAATCCATTGTCGTAATTGTTCAGTGGTTGCAGCTGCGGTTGATGCTCCAGTAACTGTAAGAAAGAGTACAGAATCAATTTCAGACAATATTTAGTTTATATTTGGAAAAAAAAAAAAAGAAAAAGAAAGAAACAGCTAAAATTGTCATTTATAGAATTTTGTCAAGTAATTATAAAACTTTTGTTGCCTTTCATATTATTTTACTTTTTTCGTGGTTATTAACACTGAACTATGACAACATAATTAATGAAGAACTGACAGCAACAATAAAGAAGAAATTTTAATCATTTGTTTAGTTTGATCTAAAATAGCGAGTGGTGAAAGAGCAATCGCTTTTTATCTCGGCAGCCACATATGGCCTCTCATCAGCGTTCATTATAAAAAAAAAAATGAAGGGAGAATAGACAATTTAACCGCAAAATCTGCTCTCAACTTTCCTATCACTGTATTCAAAGCTTAGACAAACAAATAAATACATCATACAAAATAAACAGTTTTACAGTCTTAAACAATGGTCAAAACAAAAGAAAAAAGAAAAAAAGAAGAAGAAGAGAGTAAAAGAGAAGATGAAAAAGGAGACAACTGGCCGATGGTTACTTTGACCGACAATTTGGCTTTTTTCTTTATTTTTTATTTTCCACATCTTTTTTTTTTTTTTTTATTTCACTAAAAGATATTTGAGGGTAAAAAGTCACGCTCAACATTTTTTTTTTTTTGTTGATTTTATTGGTTTCCCGAAAAAAGATGCCGCTTTTTACTCAGTGAAAATTTTGGTTACTTTTTGGTTTGGTCAGTTAGCGATTATTCAGGCAACGCGCAGCAGTAATTGTATTCCGTTCAAAACGGTCACTTACATTTTATTATTATTGCGGTACAAAACAGATAATGACAATATTAAATTACAAGAAGTTTATTTAGAAGTTTAGAATATGCTCAAAAACTTTGTTGAAGCTCCGGTCATACAATTATTATTATTATTATTTTTGGCAAATTTTCTTTTTTTAAAATATAACTCTTAATAACAGTGTCACTATGTGCTCATTAAACTTCCGGGCAGATCAGTACAAAAAAAAAAAAAAAAAACTAGAGAATGTGGCAGTAGTCAA